GCCGCCTCGCCCCCAGGGATGCCCGGCTATGGCAACCCCCACGCCACGTTCGCGTGGGGCCGCCGCGTTTCCCTCCTTCGGTTTGAACTGCCCGCCTTGAGTAACCGCTACGCGCCGCCCCGCCCCGCGCCGCCCCTTCCTCCGCCTCCGCGGCGCCCCCGCCGGCCGCCCCGCGACCCGCAGGCAGCGGCCAGGTTCCCGCTTCCCCAGAGGAGGTCTCATCCTCCCTTTTCCCACCCTTCCACCCCCACCCAAAGCTCAGCCGGCCTTTCTAACTTCATGGGCTCCGCCTCTCCCCATTCTCACCTCGGGGAGCATTATATAGAAAGGCCACTAATCCTATAGTGGGTCCTGCATTAAAAATAATGCAGGCGAGTATTCACTTGAAAATGTTCGCTGAGATATAAAAGGCAGGTTACAAACCGAACGACGCCTTTTAGCAGTAGAGCTATACACAGGATGAGGTCTGAAGGGTATGACTAACTTGGTTACAGCATCTCTACACGGGGTTATGCTTGATTATGCTAGATGGGATATTTTATATTCTTCACCGGACACCTACCCTATGCAAGGCTCCATCCTTCTACTCTCGGCAGCTTCCTCCTAGTCTCCTTTTTCTGGCTTCTTTTTCTCTGCCTTTTCCCTAAACGAGACGGCCTACCTCAGCATTTGTTAGTTAGTTTGTTTGTTTGTTTGTTTAACTTTACCATTATGTGCTTACATAATTCTTATGCAGAACCTCTCCCATCACTTTTAAGCCAATAATAGCAGCTACTACCACTGTCCTCCAACTGGATATTTCTTTCTCTGTCTGGATGCCCTTTAGTCATCCCAAATGAAATATATCCAAAATCAAACTCACTAACACTAAGGTCTTCAAGTCACTAGGCGAGGTACTGGGAATACAAAGATGAGCACAGCACAGTTATGGCCTTAAGGGGCTCACAAGCACTGTAATAGAGGGACGTAGTAGCACCAAGGAAAGAGGATCAACTAACCCTAAGGAAGGAGAAGGGATGGGGCTAACTTTATAAAGACCATGATTTGAGGTGGATTTTGAGATGAATGACAATTTAAAAGTCAGATAACAGGTGATTTCAATCTCAAAATGTGCAAGAGCAGGAAACTTGGAATAGCTGGGCAAACTCTAAATAGTTTGTTATACCTAGAAACTCAGATTTATTTGAAGAAAGGGGCAAAAAAATTTTTTTTTGAGAAGGGGAAGAAGCCAAGTCATGGAGAATTTCAGATGCATTTAAGAGTCTGTTGCTCGGCCTTTTGGCTAAGATCAAGTGAAGAGTCTGTTGATCCTCTAAGCATTGCAGAGCATTTCAATTTTAGAAAGATCACTCTGGTGGCAGAAGGGAGAGCGGAAGGAAAAGAGGTGAGGGTGGTTGCAAGGAGACCACTTAGGGAGCTATTGCATGACTCTGGAAGCCAGTGGGGTTGGAGAAGAACCTGGACTCAACATATTCTGTTAGCAGAATCAAGTGCATGGGGGCAGGGATTGAGGAAGCACAGTGGACAGATTTGGAAGAAAACAAGATTAATTTAGTATGAGGTTGTTATGTTTCAGGTACCTGTAGGACTTAAGGTAAGGAACTGGTGAATTATACATGCTTCAAGATAGCACCTCTCTAGAAGGTGCTATGTCTAGAAGACACCCACATGTACCAAGATAGAGTGAGTAGTGCCCTCTCTAGCTCTTCAAACAAATCTCTATTACAGCCATTTTGCCCTTGCTCCATGACAGCATTTGCAATCGTCGTTCTCTGCTGAATTTTCTTTGTGTAGTTTAACACCTAAAAATCTCATATTACTGGGTTGCCTGGGTGGGTCAGTCAGTTAAGCGTCTGCCTTTAGCTCAGGTCATGATTCCAGGGTCCTAGGATCAAGTCCTAGGGCTCTTTGCTCAGCAGGGACCCTGCTTCTCCCTCTGCCTGCCGCTCCCCCTGCTTGTCCACTCTCTCTCTCTCTCTCTCTGACAAATAAACTACTCAGAAAAAAATTAAAAAAATAAAAATGTCATATTACTTACTTATCTTGTTTAATGTCTGATCCTCACTCCCACTATAATGTAAACAGGGCAGGGAATTTTGCCTATGGCTTAAAAAAAATCCACAAAATCCCAAACACCAATTAAACATTGCAGTTTCTCTTTCTCTAGTTAATTTATTTTTCCTTATTTTAGCATAACTAAAGAGCAGAAAAGTTAACATAACTCCCTTCTATCCTAAGGATAATTTTTACTCTCCTCCCCACTGCCCCCAACCAAAAGGGCAAAAAGGAATCTAGTTACCTATTGCTTGTCCTGGCTTTACTCATATACTCCAAATACAAATAACTAAGCCATATTTTCCTATTCTTTGCCCACCATAGTCTTTGGCCTTTTTTGCTTCCTTTCTGGATTGGAAGTCATACCATTACTGACCTTAGAATTTTTTTTTAAAGATTTTATTTAATTATTTGTCAGAGAGAGAGGGAGAGAGAGCAAGCACAGGCAGACAGAATGGCAGGCAGAGGCAGAGGGAGAAGCAGGCTCCCTGATGAGCAAGGAGCCTGATGGGGGACTCGATCCCAGGACGCTGGGATCATGACTGAGCCGAAGGCAGCTGCTCAACCAACTGAGCCACCCAGGCGTCCCCTGACCTTAGAATTCTAAACCCCATCTGTTTTCCACAAGATCTAATTCTTCTTTTGGGGACCATCCAGCAAAACATAATGAAAGACTTTTCCAATCACGATAACTTAAGCTATGCTGATATACTTTAAAAGAAATAGGATCAAGGAATATGAAAAACAGATTCAGGGAGGAAAATAGCAACTTGCATCTCCATAACCATATTTTAAGGAATTAAAAGCACTAGTATCCAAGATAACAAGACAACTGCCTTCATTTGGAGAGAGCAATGCAGTGATATCTGCACATGGTAAGTGCTCAAGAAAAGTTAGCTGTTACCAGTGTTAATAATTTCCATTGACCATGCTCCATAGTGATCCTAAGACTACTGGATCCTGCTGATAGGAAAGAGGGTGTTGGATTGGGAACTAGCATTAACATGGACTTTTGTTGAAATTCTGGATCTCCTTGATACCACTTCTAATTACCCTACCCTTCCACAGGGTCCCAGGATCCATTTCTATCCTACATTTGCTGATCCAGTCTAATCTCCATAGACTGTGTTATGTGCCAGAATCATTTTGATACCTCAGCTGGAGAGTCAGAATCCCATAAAGTGTGCAATGATTTAAGTTATACTTTCTGGATCACTCCATCATCTTTCTCTTTTTTTAATTTTATTTTTATTTATTTATTTGACAGAGCAGCAGCAGCAGCAGCAGAGGAAGAAGCAGGCTCCGAGGCTGAGCAGGGAGACGAATGCAGGGCTCAATCCCAGGCCCCTGGGATCATGACCTAAGATGAAGGCACACACTTACCTGACTGACCACCCAGATGCCCCTCCATCATCTTTCTCTTTTAACAACAGTTTTATTTAGTAATTTTTGTAGGAAAGCCTGTGTCGACTGTTCTATTGCATTACCCTCTTCTCTTTGGTTGAGAGCTAACTGTCAAAATACTTGGGCTGTATGTTGGCCGGTCTGTGAAGGAAATAGCAGGAAAATCCATTATGTTTCCCTGGAAATTAAAAAATTGGCAGCTAGGAAGACCAAGAAGATGAAGTTAAATCTCCCAACGTGGTCTGTAGAGGTGCAATCAATTTGAACTCCTTCTGGGAGTGAAAGGTGAAGCTGAAAGTTCTCAGGTTGCTGGAGGGAAGACTAGAAAGCAGTATATTCTGCTTAATAAGAAATCAAAGACATGTTGGGGAGAAAGTCTGTTTCTCTGCTTAACTATAATTACTATAAACAAATATTTTCTAAATTTTAATTACTTTATTTTCTTCTTCCTTCTTCTGTTATCAGTGAAAACCTGTGAAAGAAGCAAACGAATGTAAACATTGTTAATCCAACTTCTATTAATCTCACTGATTTTGATCTTTCAAAAAACACACCTCCACTGCGCAGACCGTTTTGTTTCATCTAGGGAGGAATACATGCGATGTAAAGGTCAATCAATGGATAGTGACTGCTACCAATATCCCTCAGTTTTAAGTGGAATTAATTTATGTAGCTGCCTTCATACCGCCTTTGCTTTTTTTTTTTTTTTTTTTTTTTTTTAACTTATTTGAGAGAGAGACAGCAGGAGCGAGAGGGACAGAGAAAGAGAGGGAAAGAATCTCAAACAGACGCCATGCTGAGTGCAGGGCCTGATGCTGGGATCCGTCCCAGGACCCTGAGATCACGACCTGAGCCGAAACCAAGAGATGGAAGCTCTACCAACTGGGCCACCCAGGCACCCCTAGCCTTTCCTTTAAAACAAGTAAAAGGAGAAGGTCAGAGGGACGACAGGAGCCTACGAAAGTTTCAAAAAGCAAAAATGAAATCATGTGGATAGGGGGCGCCTGCTCCACTGGCCCAGCACAGGTACCAAGGAAAAACAATCTGAAAAGCGCTTTTTTTAAGTGAAAATCAATGATGGAGTCGCTCCTTCCGTGTTCCTCCGAGTAACGGTCAGCCTAGGATTCCAGGGGCAGCTGTCATTTCGCTTTTTCTTCTAACCCTCAGCCCTCCTGGAAAGTTTACTTTCTGCTGACTAGTCAGAAAAGCAGACTCCCTCCTATTTGAGGAACTACTGAAATGTTCTGCTATCCTGAAAAGCGAAATAAGCTGGGGCGAAACACGGACGCCCTCCCTACAGAGCCTAACACACAAAACTGTCAGCTTTACCGCTTCTGTACAATCCGGGTTCCCCTGCCACGCCCGGGGCGGAAGGGGCGGGGACTAGAGGCGTCATAGGCCAGCGCCGGAAGTTGGGTGAGACACTACGAGGAGCCATAATCTGCCGGGAGATTTAGAGTACGGAGTTTCTTTGGGCTGCGTGGTTAGGGACTTGGTGGGTTGTATTTAGACGTGAGTATTTGAACCCAAACAGGTAAGACCCTCAAGGTTAAAAGGGTCCGGTTTGGAACTAGAATTGGGAGAAGCTGGGGATTGAGTAGATGATGTTAATCCTTTGCCCTGTTTGGCTTTTGAGGGTTATTCTCCCCTTATTTTCGATTCGCACGTTCCCGTGTTGAAGGATATAATTTATTGCCTTCCGCTGAATTTTGGAAAAGTAGAACTTGGGGTTAAATGGAAACCGAGCTTTGCCGTCAAATCCCAGTCCCCCTACCTCTTAATAGCTGAATAGCTCTGCGCAAGTTGACTTCTACAAGGCTGGGTTTCTTCATCTGTAAAGTAAGAGTAATAGCTCCTATGATTGTTGTAAAGATTATAGTGAAATAGTATGTGTAAAGTTACTGTGTCCAGTTTGGGGGTAGGTGCGCAGTACGTTGTGTTTTTCGTCCATTAGCTCTACCCATAGGGTTTGAAAAAGTACAGGTTAGGAATTGGGACTTTTTTCGGTTTCCCTGAGAAAAATGAGGCCTGGTTGGATTTGTGAGGAGCCCTTTTGAGATACTCAGTATTTGAGCCTGTGATTTCAGGGGTTATCAATGGACACGCAGAAGGACGTTCAACCCCCAAAACAGCAGCCAATGATATATATCTGCGGAGGTAAGAATAGAACTTACATAAAGTACGAGTGTTTTACTTCAGAGTTTTGAAGTAATTACATTTAACTTTGTCTTAAATGAGTCTCTCATCTTTAAATTTATAAAGCAGAATACTATCAACTGTTTAAAAAAAAAAAAGAGTTCTCTCATTAAGAATTCATTTTCGGGCACCTGGGTGGCTCAGTGGGTTAAGCCTCTGCCTTCAGCCCAGGTCATGATCTCCAGGTCCTGGGATCGAGCCCCACATCCGGCTCTCTGCTCAGCAGGGAGCCTGCTTCGCTTCTCTCTCTGCCTGCCTCTCTGCCTACTTGTGATCTTTCTCTCTCTGTGTCAAATGAATAAATAAAATCTTAAAAAAAAAAAAAAAAGAATTCATTTTCTGTCCAAGAAAAAGTGCACTGTCCATAACTCTTTTTTCTTTCCTCCTTAGTATATTGTTGTTAAATAATAAAAGTTCAACTGAGTACATTTTAAAGGTGGAATAGGCTTATTTAATGGATTCATGAATCGGGCAGCATCCTGTCTAGCAAATAGATAGGAGCTCCAAAGGGCTACAGAAAAAGAAAGGTTTTTAAAGGTAGAGAGGAGTGGAAAAAAGGAAATTATTAGCAAAGAATCCATTGTTTTAGGTAAGATGGCCTTTCTAAGAGGAGGAACAGAAAAGCAGTAAATTCCCTAATGCTGACAAAGAAATTCCCATGGTGACTGGTCAGAGGTTACATTTCTGCATGGTTGAAACTGCAGTTAGGTTAAGTGTTAAGCCTTGGTTTACTGGGTTTACTGACTTGGCATCTTAACCTAAGTGAGGCTGTTTGGGGCCTGTCGTTTTCTTTTCAGCATGGTCATAGCACCTTACTCTTAAGATTGAGTACATTTTAGTGCTTTGGGTGAAAAATATAGTTAAGATAATTTGCTTTTTTATCCTATTTGCCCTTTAGACACTGAATAAATATGCTTTCTTTTTTAGAATGTCACACAGAAAATGAAATAAAATCCAGGGATCCAATCAGATGCAGAGAATGTGGATACAGAATAATGTACAAGAAAAGGACTAAAAGATGTATCCTTTTAACTTGCTAAATATGAAGTAGGTGGACGTGAAGAATAATGCTTGGGTTGTTAGTCAAACACTAATTTCTGGTGTTAAAAAATGGTAATAACAGACTACCAAAAAAAGGGCTCAATTAGGATTTTCATAATCATTTAATTTTTATGTTCATAATAAAAATTCAGTGTAGAGGCGTATATTAAATATCTGAATATTAGTTGATTTTAGTTTTACAGGATCCGAATTTTACTTATACTCCTTGATTTTGAGTTTATGGACAAACTAAATTATACAAAGAGAAATAAATACAAATACTGTGTATGAATGCTACTTAATGGATAAAGTAAGGATTACAAATTAGCCACAACACTGGAAGTACATTATTATGTGGTAATTAATAGTACAATTAAAATATTTTTTAAAGTGCTAAGTTACCTTGATAACATTGCTTTAGTGTTTTTTTTGGTGCATTAGTCTTTTGTGTCATGGAAAGGGGACTAATAAAAATTGAAGTCTTTTTTTTTTTTTTCCATTTCCAAATATCATAGTAAATACTGAGTTCCAACCTATTATATGCTGTAGATTAAATAACTAGCTGATTGCAAAGAGAAAGTGACTTGGAAGTGTTAAATCCTTCATATAATTTTTAAATATTTTTTTTGTCCTTAACTCATTTTAATACAGTGGTGGTTTTTGATGCTCGATGAAACATGGAATTTGGAGGATTATCTTCATCTGTACTTGGATTTGCTATTAATGTTACATAGTTTTTGATTAGTGTATATATCTTTATGAATACAAATAGCATTGCATTTTAAAAACCATCTTGTATGTAGATATTTATTTGATAGTTTCTATAAAGAAGTTTTTTGTTCAGTTACGTGATTTATGGCCACCTGGATGGCTCAGTCTGGCTTCTGCTCAGGTCATGATCCCAGGGTCCTGGGACAGAGCCCCACATCAGACTCCCTGCTCAGCGGGAAGCCTGCTTCTCCCATTCCCATTATCCCTGCTTGTATTCCCTCTCTCACTATCCCTCTCTTTCTCTGTGTTAAATAAATAAGTCTTTTTAAAAAAATTACGTGATTTATAACTTTTATTGTATGTGTGATCTGACATAGAGTGAAAGTTTAAAGTGCTTCCCTAAACCACACTTCTAATTAAGGCCTAGAATCTTTGGGGAGCCTTGTTAAAAATGTTTTCTAGGAAACTACTGTTTTACATCACCAACTTTGTAAACTCTCCGTTATCATTTTGTATTGAGTATACCAATGTACTTAGCATGCATGCATTATTTTGAGTTAAATTTTTCATTTTTACTTGATGTAGGCCTTCTGTATTTGTATATAAGGCTTGACTGTATTTTAAGTCTTGGGTGAGGGAGAAGAAACTTTAATGGTTGCATCTGTAAGGAAAAATCAACTCGCAGTAAAGTGGATGAAGCAGATTATTAAGGCGGGTGTAGTTTCTGAGGTGTAATCAGGAAGGTAAAAAATTCTGCCTTCAGGGTACATAAAAAAATATGTATAGGGACTGGTTTACACTGGCCTATGGATAAATGTTTAAAGTTTTGCCCTGATCTTAGGGATATGGATACTCAGATACTCCCATCTGTTCCAGGATTCCATCATTATGGGATGTCACCTAACATTCATTTTGAAGATAGGTATATTCCACCTTCACTATTAGCTGTGTGTGTCTCTGACATTCAAAAAATTAACTGTGCCATTTTAAAAAAGCACCTGTATTTCTATTACCATCCTTGAATACTAAGTTCTATAAATGTTTTAAGTGCTATACAAAGTACTACCATGCTCAAATTTTTCAGAGTGCTTCCTAGGTCCAGGTTTTCCTTTAGCCATACCTTTCATACTTTTGTAATTCTGCTCTGTTTCTTCTTGACCTTGTCTTTTTCAGACAAAAGAGTCCCAATAAATATGACAGTTCCCTAAACAAACCCTAACACTTGGGATGACATTATTGTTCTTAGCTGTTTTGATTTTATCATAGGTCTTTTATGTATCATTAGTTTAATTGAATATTATTATTTGGTTAACTAGACAGTGGTTTGGTGGAAAAAGTATTATCACTGGAACTCAAGACCAGTATTTCAACCAGTCACTTCTTTGTGTCCCTTTCATCTATAAAAATGGAAGTGATTTTACCTCTTGCCTACCTGGACAATTTTAGTGGGGAAAAAAGGTAAAATAGATATAAAATTGCTTTAAAAGATTTGGGGGTGCCTGGGTGGCATAGTCGGTTGAGCATCCAACTCTTAGTTGCAGTTCAGGTCATGATCTCAGGGTTGTGGGATCAAGCCCAGTGTCAGGCTCTGCACTGAGCGCAGAGGCTCTCTCCCTCTGTCCCTCCCCTCCTTTCTCTCTTTCAAAAACAAATAACAGCAGATCTTAAAAAAAAAGACTTTCAAATAGTGTTGTTTAAGTAAAAATATCAGTAAATCTGAGCTTAAAGTTAACATGTAACTTGTCCCCTGCTTAAAATGTTTACCAATGACTATGGACATGCATGTCCATGAGGAAAGCATGGAAATTGAATCAAATCCAGCCCTGCTTCTCAGTGACTAGCCAGTTCACTTAATGTAAGCTTCATGGTCAAAGTGGAGGAATTTATGATAGTCAATATGGTGCTTTGAGGCTCTGAAGTTACCTTCAGAGATTAAAGTTGTGAAAAATGTAAAAACAGTAGCTGATATCAGAAATGGCCAGTCTTGGGGCTCCTTGTTGGCATCATCAGTTAAGCGTTGGACTCTTGATTTTGGCTCAGGTCATGAACCCAGGGTTGTGAGGTGAGAGTTCTCTCTCCCCTCCCTCTGCACACCTCACCCCACCCCACTCTGTGTTTGTCTCTCTCCAAAAAACCCCACAAAAGACAAAAAAAAAAAAAAAAAAACCAGTCTCAGGAGTGTCTGCCTGGCTCAGTCAGTAGAGCGTGCAACTCTTGATCCTCAACGGTTGTGAATTCAAGTTCCATGTTGGGCGTAGATATTACTTAGAAATCTTCAAAAAAAAAAAAAAGCCATTCATAAGACTATAAGTTGAGAAGTTGTAAACCGAGAATATGTAAAAACAAGCTGCCTCCTCACATACACAAATGTGTGAACATCTCCACACCTCCTAGAATAAGTCCTGTGTAGAAAATTAGGAGGGAGTGGTTATTTGAGCAGAAGGCTGAAGGATGAGAAGGAGCCTGACATACTAAGACAAGGGGAAGGAGCATTCCTGAAATTGAGGAAATAGCCAGTGTAATGTCTCAGGGGTAGAAAGTAAGCTTTCCTTGTTCCCACTTTAGAATGAAGCCCATGTGACTCAAACTTTGAGGTAGGCAGAGGCCTGCTTATTTATGGTCTCATGATGGGAGTAAACAGGAGTGTAACATGATTTAAGACAAGATTACTGGAGCTGTTCTGTGAGAATGGATAACGTAGGGATGGATGGATGGGGAAGCCAGCTAAGGACCACCTGCAGTAATTCAGGGTAACGATTATGGCAGGCCAGAGTGATAGCAATAGAGGGACTAAGAAGTGGCTGGTTGTAAGATAACATTTTGAAGTTGAGCTAATGGGACTTAGTGATGGCTTGGCTAGTATTTTAAGAGCTCAGTAGGAGGTGAAAGGCTTTGGGTTCAAATATCCACAGTGTCCTTTGTTAACAGTGTGTGACTTCACCAGGGTACACTTTCCTCATTTGTAAGGTAGGCAGGAAATAATCGCACCTACCTCACAGGTTAGTTGCAAAATAAAATGAATCCGTAAAAACTCTTAGCCTAATCAATGTTAATTATTATCACCATTGCTGTATTATTATTTTCCACACATGATTAGTTTGAAGATTAGTGTCCCAGCTACTAGGCTTGCTGCCTTCATACTCTTCAGACTGCTCTTTCTGAAACACGTTGTAGATACTCTGAACGTTTAATTATATTTCTATAATTAGGTAGGAGTAGTTATCAATCTATCTTGCGGGTGGTGTAACAATCCAGAACAGTAACGGCGTTTTAACTCGATCAGAAACGCACGCAATGGAGAAAGGGAGCTCTCCCACTGGGACTCCTTTCTGGCCTAATGGTCGTCTGTGCGAGAGGCTGGGCTGTGAGGCCTATCTGCGAGGTAGCTGATCGAGGGCCAGCCAATCATCCGCAGAGGCTCTGGTCCCGCCCCCCCGGCAGTCAGCCTCTGGCGGGTGGGGGCTCGGCGGGGCGACACGCCCCCAGCTGCGCACCTGCGGCTTGGGTGGTAAATTGTGTCGGGGCCGCATCCTCTGCGTAGTGTCTGCGAACCAGGTGAGTACCTGCCGGCCAGGAGTAGGTTACATCTTCCGTCGCAGTTCCCTTCGGAACTGGGGTGAAAGGCAGGCCCCGAAAGCAAATGCACGGTTGGAATCGACTGAGGGAGCGGGTTATGGGATGAATAAACGGGGGGCTTTAGTTTACTGTGGCGGAGGGTAGCGGATGTTGGGACAGGGTCGCAACATGGGGGTTGCCGGGGTCCGCCGGCGGCGACCAGTCCTGGAGACCAAAGAGCCGGGGAGTGGGGAGCAATTTCAGAGGGTCCCAAAGTGCCCCCCGACCGTTGGGTTGACTGTAGAACTCTGGGTTCGCGGCCGCCCCCCACGCCCCAGCCGCTCCGGGCGGTGCTGTACACAGAAACCGTTGCTAGGGCAAAGGGAACCAATTCCTTTCGATTTCGGCCTGCAGGGGGCGCTCGACCCTGTGGTTGCTGGATAGAAAGTTCCCTGTTGGAGGAAAACAGGTTTTCGTGTTAATTAACCATCTCATTTTCCGATGGAGGTGTTTCTGTCAGCCGATTAGGGAATATGGGAAATGGATGTGGATCAGGATGACCAAGAAGAGATTAAATCCAACTAGAATCAAAGCTTTTCCTAATCAAAGAAATTCCAACCGGATATGGGAGGGTTCTAACGAGAGCAAATTAACTGTTGTAATGACTTGTTTTTTGGAACTTGAAAGTTAACATTTAGTAGTCTTGAAATGTGCATCTTACCAGGAAAAACAAAACAAACATGGAAGTCTTCAAAAAGGATTTTCAGAGAAATGTTAAAACCGTGTGCAGAATGAAATTCATTTGATTAGATAAGCGATGGCTCTCATTTAAAATGTTTTTCACTGTATTCAAATCGTGTAATCTCAGCGGTTGCAAGACAAATTCGAGATCATCTATTTTAATCCCATTGGATGCTTAAGTTCTTCCATCAAAGATCCGCCAACTCTTTAGAAAAATTCTAGTGCAACCCATTCTGTTCTGGGCAGCATCAGTAATTTAAAAGTTCTTCGTGTAGCTTTCCATAGTTTCTACTCTTAAGGCTATCCTTGTAATGAATGTATCATTTATCATTCTGGGCCCTGCCAGTATAGCATGAAAACCACAATCTCATTTCTCCACTGGATCTCATCTGAAAGCTGATGTCTTCTGTGTTCTACGCCCAGTTAAACCCAGCAGGAATATGGAGGAGAAGCTGACACCAATCCTTCTGTCTCTCTCTCTCTCTCTCTTTTTTTTTTTCCCCAGAAATCTGATGTATGACCAGAATTCCAGAGAGCGGCATGTTGAAGGAAATACTTTTGGTCAATTAGGCCCATTGCTACTTCTTGTTTTAAAATTTATAACCCAATATGTTTTACTGCAGTGGTTTTTGAAACACTTTTGATCAGTGACCCACGATGAGAAATATATTTTGCAACATGTGCATTTATATTCACACATTTGTCATTTGTATAGACACGACATAAAAGTTTTTACAAAACAGTATTCACAGTATGTGAAGTAGTCAGATTTTTGTGTTGCTGT